GTTTTCTTATCCATTCAGGTTCCCTATCTTTTGGTTGGAGCACTTAATTCTTTTCCACTTAAGGTACTTGTTGATAAATATGTAGTTATTACCATTCTTTATTCATGTTTTTGATTCATGTTTTTTTTTTTTTCTTTAAAGTCTCTCCAACAATTCATATAATACCGGCTTGATGTTGATGAATTCCTTTAGCTTATTTTTGTCTAAGAAGCTATTTATTTGTCTTTCGACTCTAAATGATAGCTTTGCTGGATTAAGTGTTCTTAGTTGTAGATCCTGGGTTTTCAGCACTTTGCATATTTTGTACCAGGCTTTTCTGTCCTGCAAAGTTTCTTTCGAGAAATCAGCTGCCAGTCTTACGGGAGCTCCCTTGTAGATAACTAATTGCTTTTCTCTTGTTGCTTTTAAGATTCTCTCTTTGTATTTAACCTTTGGCATTTTAATTATGGTATATCTAGGTGTGGGCCTCTTTGGGTAAAATTTTTTGGGACTCTCTCAGCTTCCTGGGGTTGTATGTCTGTTTCCTTCACCAGGTTAGGGAAGTTTTCCATCATTATTTCTTAAAATAGGTTTTCAAATTCTTGCTTTCTCTTCTTTCCTTCTGGTACCCCTATAATGCGAATGTTATGTTTGATGTTGTCCTATAGGCTCCTTAAATGATCTTCCTTATTTTGGATTGTTTTTTCTTGTTGCTGTTCTGATTGGGTGTCCTCTGCTACCCCATCCTCTGTATCAGTGATTTGATCTTTCACTTCATCCACTCTGTTGATTCCCTCTAATATACTCTTCATCTCAGATATTATATTCTTCATTTCTGACTGGTTCTCTTTTATAATTTCCATCTCCATTTTTATGTTTTTTATCTCTTTGTTAAAGTTTTCACTGAATTCATCTACACTTCTCCTAGGTTCATTGATTATCTTTATAACCAGTGTTTTGAACTCTGCATCTGGTATATTGCTCGACTCCCATTTTTGCTGGAGCTGTGTTCTGTTCTTTCATATGGGACATGCTTCTTTGTCTCCCCATTTTGGCTGCCTTTCTGTGTCTGTTCTTATGTGCTAAGCAAATCTCCTGGTCTTATTAGTGTAGCTTTGTGTAGTAGGTGTCCAGTGGCACAGTCCTGAGAGGGGTTTAGCTGCAGGCCAAGTTTAGCCCAGCCTGTGCCCCTCTGGGGCCACCTGTTAAGATTCAGCAAGCAATCCATAGATGCTTTGCTTATAGTTGCCTCAAGAAGCCATGCCAGAAACTGAGATCAGCTGCCACCAATGTGAGCCTTGGCGCCGCTCAGCAAGTGGCACAGGACTCGCTGAGGACACAACTGAATGTGGCTTGGGTGAGGCCATGAGTTGGGGGAGGTGGAGTTTCAGGGAATCCTTGGATGGAGTGACCTCTGTTATCTAGTTCGATGACGTCTCAGCTATGGCAGTGCTGCGTCCACACACTGGGACGAGGAAGGGCTCAACAGAAGAGCAATGGATACAACTAGCACTTCTGCCTGGGAGAAAGCCTCGCCTCTGGCCCGTGCTTTGACAACTCTGTCCCCCTGTAAGTTCCTGGTGCCCCTGAGCAGCCAGCCTGGTGCTGGTGCTCAAAGTGAGCAGGTCCATCACCTTGAAAGTCTGCTCTTGGACATGGTCCCTGTAAGAGGTGTCTCTTGCTGCCAGCTGCTGCCGCCGCCTGCTGCTGCATAGCCTCTGTCTCGCTCAGCTACGTGAGACCAGGCAGCCTGGCATCTTCTCCCCCTCTTACCTCCCAACTGTTTGTTGTAGGGTGATTTCTTATTTTTCTCCGTAGGGGTGGGGTTTCTGTTCATCTAGAACCCCAGGCACCTCTGCTTGCTGTTTGCTCCTTGTTTCTGTCTCAGCTTTGAAGTGGTTGCAGGAGGGGATGAGCGAAACTTCTATCATCTACGCCATTTTGCCTGGTTCTCTCCTACTTTAGTTTTTAAGAGAAACTTAAGCTTTAGAGTTAGATCTGAATTTGAATCTTGTCTCATAATATTACTGTGCTTTTTGCCAAATATTTAACTTCAACTGCCACATCGCATGCCCGGTCCCCGGATGATCCCCAGGTTAATGTTAGGATTAAATGAGATTACATAAAATTAGAAACTATCATGACCAGATACAA